CAAAAGAAGACATACAGATGGTTAACAGGCACATGAAATATGCTCAACATCACTAATCATCAGGGAAATGCAAATCAAAACAACAATGAGATATCACCTCACACAGAATAGCCATTATCAAAAAGACAAAAGAAAACAAGTGCTGGCAAGGATGTGGAGAAAAGGGAACACTTGCACCCTGTTGGTGGGAATGTAAACTAGCAGAGCCACTATGAAAAACAGTATGGAGGTTCCTCAAAATATTAAAAATAGAACTACCATTTGACTCAGCAATCCCACGACTCAAAAGAAATGAAGTCAGTACATTGAAGAGTTATCTGCACTCCTATGTTTATTACAGCACAATTTACAATAGCCAAGAGATGGAATCAACCTAAGTGTCCAACAGAGGATGAATGGATTGAAAAAAAAAGTGGTATATTTACACAATGGAATACTATTCAGCCATAAAAAGGAATGAAATCCTGTCATTTGAAGCAACATGGATGGACTTGGAAGTCATTATGTTAAGTGAAGAAAGCCAGGCACAGGAAGGGAAATACCACATGATTTCACTCACATGTGGAATCCAAAAAACAAAAAAAAAAGTTGAGATTATGTATAGAGAGAGTAGAACAATGTTTACCAGAGAGTGGAGAGGGGAGGGGGAAGGAAGAGAGGTTGGCCAGTGGGTACAAATTACAGCTGGATGAGATGAACAAGTTCTGGTGTTGTATTGCACAGGAGGGCGACTACGGTTAAGAGTCAAGTTTAGTTTTGTATGTCACATAGTAGCTAGAGGAGAGGCTTTTGAATGTTTTTACCACAAAGAAATGACAAATGCCTATGGGTACAAATTACAACTGGATGAGATGAATAAGTTCTGGTGTTGTATTGCACAGGAGGGCGACTACGGTTAAGAGTCAAGTTTAGTTTTGTATATCACATAGTAGCTAGAGGAGAGGCTTTTGAATGTTTTTACCACAAAGAAATGACAAATGCCTGAAGTGATGGATAAACTAACTGCCCTGACCTGATCATTATATGCCATATATATGTATCAAAACATAGATTGTATGCCACAAGCATGTACATTGTGAAAATTAAAATTTTTAAAAAGAGGGGGGTCTTGCACACTTCCTGGAATGCTGCCACCACCATGAGCACAAGCCAAGGCTCACCTGTTACAAGATGATTTACATGGAGCAGAGACCAGTCATCCCAGGCAAGGGCATGCTAGACCAGCCAGCCCCCCGCTAACCCGCTAGCTGACCACAGACACGTGGGCCCAGACTAGGTCAGCTGAGCCTAGTCAAGACCAGCAGAACTGCTCAATTGACCTCTGGACTCATAAGAACTTGTTGTTTTAAACTATATTTTGGGGTAATTTGGTACACAGCCATAGCTAACTGATATACCTCTTTAACTAGCCTTCAGGCTTTCCCTTCCTTTTTCAAAATATTTTCTCCTTTCAGAAGCCAGAGGGCTCTTTCCCCTACTTATCACCCTCCAATATAGTTTCCTGGTGCAATTAGAATAAACTTCAGACTCCAGACCATAGCCGACAATGCCTGACCGATCCCCCTGACTCGCCCCTTTCCCCACTCTGCTTCACCCACGCTGAAGTCTTGAAGTCCCACGAACGTGCCTTCACTTTTGCAGTCCCCTCTGCTGGAGCAGGCGCTCCTAGATCTGCACTGGCTGTCTCCTTCTCATCCTGCAAGTATCAACTATATCCTCGGAGAGGCCTGCCCCTACTGCCTGAGCTAAAGTCATCTTCCCCTACCCTCTGCCCATTTCCTTCCATTTTGCCCTTTTTATTTTCACATTACTTGCTGAAATTTTTCTCATTACTTGCAAGTAAGTAGTCTTTTTGTTGAGGTGCATATTATTTTTTCTCCCCAATCAGAACGTAGGCTCTATGAAAGCCTGAATGTTTCTGCCATTGTTCATTGCCACTGTTCCCTAGCAGTTACAACAGTGCCTGGCACACAGCAGGAGCTGGATAAATATTTGCTCAGTGAATGAATAATAACCCCAAAGAAAAAACACCTTTGTGGCGTAGCTTAAAAGTCTTTGTGCATGGCATCGCTTGCCACTGCTCCACCTGCTGGGCCACTCTGTCCAGACTGAAGGACCTGCACGTTCCCCAACATGTCACGTTGTCCCTGGCCTTTGCATATTCTGTTCCCTCTGCCTGCCCTTCTCTCCCACAAAGATCCTGGTAACTCCTGTTTATCCTTAAACATTTTGTACCATAAGTCTCTTCCTCCAAGGAGCTTTTCTATCCCTCCCCCGCTCCAGCCCATGGTAAGGGTCCTCCTCCCCAGCTCTCTCATGGCACTTGGCTCTCTTCACCGCACTCATCACACTGTGCTTTGATTACCTGGTTATTCCTTTGTCTTCAGGATGATAAGGCCCATGCGGGCAGGACCAGATTTCCTTAATGACTGCCATTGGGCCTCGTGGGCACTCAGTAACTACGTAATGAATGAGCCTCAGAATCCTCCAAATCCACCAGAGGACTTGATGATCTCAAGATCTGTTGCTCTAACTGTCCCTGGATCTAAACCTATGAAAACTCGGGGAGAATGTGGACCCTGGGGGTATTTGGAGGTGCTGGGGTGGATACAGTGGAGAAGATGGAATGTTGGGATCACAAGCAACCTCCTGCTACCCATCACTCTGAACACTCCACTAAGTGAGGAGAACTACTGAGTAGGGCCTGGATGCTGGTGCCTCCCCTGGCTCCTCTGTGACATCAGAAGGGCTGGGCTTCTCTCTCCCTGAACACTTCCCTGCACACGGGGCTCCTAGTGAGTCATGGAGGAATGAAGCTGATGTATGACTCTAGCTCTGCAGGAAAGAACCCCGGGGTCTTAGTGGACCACAAGGGGAATACAGCAAGCCAGCCATAAATACAATTGGTGGAGGGAAAGAAAATGAATGAATAAATAAAATCTATATGTCATTTGAAGTCAGTTCTTATTACAAGAAAGGGATTCAGCCACTGGCCTTATGCCTTATTTTGGGTCCATTTTTGGTCATTGCCTTTAAGGAGGAATGTGGTAAAGACACTGAGATAAACACTGAGATAAAGAGATAATCCAGCTGAATTGTATGACAGAAAGCAGTGGAGAAAAACAAGACTGAGGATGAAAGGGCTAAATGGTTATTGTCATATTACATTGCTAATGGTTAATATATCTGACATTTAACTTTTCAGAGTCATTTTATCTATTTAATTTTTCCTCATCACTTGTCCTCCCTGAATATGAACACTAGCTAGACAGTGAAGGCTGACTTCTCCCCTTCCACAGAGGCTTGAATGAGAGGAAACAGGCTCACATGGCAGCAACAGAGAGGCAGATTAGACAGAGGGCTTCCTGAAGTGGAGGATACCCAGTGCGAGGTCGAGGTGGTTAGCATCTTGCCCTGGCTGTTGAGTCTGCAGTATTGAAGTGAACGCCTTTGAAGGTGATCTTAAGTTTGATTTCCATGGAGGTAATATCGACAAAGTGCCTGACACTTGGTGATGTTCAGAAAGTATGTTTCCTTTCTCCTTTTTGGAGAGCTAATTTCTCCCAAAGGAACAGGTATTTACAGGAGAAAGGGAGGAGCACTTCATCACTTACAGGTGGTTTCCTGAGATTCAGGTTGGGAGGGTTTGCTGTGCCCGGGCTCACGTGCCTCTGGCCTGCTCGCTCCTCTGAGGGGCGCTGAATTCCTTAGTGGTGACTGTACCTCCAGAGGGGGCTGTGGTGGGGTCCGGCAGCCTCCAGGGCCTCTCTCTGACTCCCAAGGGCAAGGACTCTCTGTGGAGAGCCATTCACCTGCAAGCCATCACTTTAGAAGCTCGAGGTGGGAGGGGTGTGGAAATTTAAAATGCATGGGGAAGGAAAATCCCTGCCATTTTAGGATATGGAGGCAGAGAGTAAAACCTGGCTAACTGGGTCTGGCTGGAATGGTGGCTGCACATCAGTGATTCTCTATGATGGTCCTGTCCCCTGGGAGTGTGCACTAGCTCTTGGGGGCTCAGTGATCATTAGATTTTTGCATTTACCATGAGGGTACATGGATTTGGTATCAGCAACTTTACAACAGGGATTGACCCACCAGTGATGTACCTAGTTTTGAGGATTCCTTCAGGGAAAGCAGGGGCTGGGAAGTCAGTTCCTCCTCTACCCCAGGAGTCTGTGGAAACAGCTCACATTTTTATTGAGTTCTTAGGTGCCAATGACTGTGCTTCATGCTTCACACATAAGCTCTCATTCACTACTGAGAGCATCCCTGCTCAGCAGGTACAATCATTCATCCCATTTTACAGATCACAGAGAGTAACTTGACCCAAGTCACACAGCTAGAAAGTGGGGCAGATGGGATTCGAGCTTCGTTGTAATGCTTTCAAGGACTAGAAGGGTCTGTGTCGGTAAGTTCAACTGGCAGGTGTGCCAGGATGGGAAGGCTGTGTCTCTGAACAGTCCTGCAGGATCTGCTGTAGTCTGCATCATGCAAGAAGGCAGAGCAGGAGACTAAGGAGCTTCTTTTCTCCAAGGGAATAATGAGGTTCTGGACTTACTTACAATAGAGGCACCTACTAGCTCTGAAAGGTTCCAGCTCCCCCTTGGGGAACCCATGGCTGTAAGCACCCAAGGGTCCCCTTCCTTGTGTCCATATGTTGACAGAGGTTTTCCCCTCTCTTGCTCCCCCAATAAGCTCCCTGCCCTGCACACAAGAGGGCCAGATCCCCAAAAAGGCAAGTGCTGCATGAGCGTGTGGGACATGTGTGTCCTTAAAACCACCCCTTCACCCTTTCTTCTTCCTGAAGTCCCACTGGGAACTCTGGGCTTCCATTTTCTCATTCCTTCTAAGACTTCCTTTCTAAGAAGCTCTCTCTAAGGAGACTTCTTTTGGTGGAGAGAAAAACTACAGTTTCTTCTAAGTTGGTTCTGAGTTGGATGTCGAGGACAAATCCTACACCAGCCCAATGGTTGATGCAGTTCCATTTTCTCATTCCTTCTAAGACTTCCTTTCTAAGAAGCTCTCTCTAAGGAGACTTCTTTTGGTGGAGAGAAAAACTACAGTTTCTCCTAAGTTGGTTCTGAGTTGGATGTCGAGGACAAATCCTACACCAGCCCAATGGTTGATGCAGTCTAGGCTTGTATTCTGATTGTTACTGCCTAAAAGGGGTGCACTAAGTTTGAAGGACCAGTTGTAGTGTGCCGGGGGATGGCCTCTGGTGTCCAAGGGTCCAATAACAGAAAGAGCCTGAAGGTGGCAGTGGAGAGAAGCTACTTAGAGGGCCACACTGTGGATTTGGGAGAACACCTTTTTAGCATCTATCTCCGCTTCGACCATGTGGGGGTGGATGTACACATTCATTCCTGCATCCTTGCACAGCTTGAGCAAGGTCCGAATGTTGTTCTTGGATAACCGCAGGTATCTGTGCAAGAGAAAGCCAAAGAAGCAGTTGAAGGTGGAGTCATGATAGCTTCTAACTTTCTTGAAAAGAGCTTAGGTGTAAGCAGCGTTAAGTATGGGATCTCTACAGGGGACTGACCTTCTACACATTTGTGGAGCTAACAGACACCCCACAGGGGTAGTGGGAGTTTGCTGGTATGACTCCTTTGGAAATTGATTTGCCAAGCACCACCTCTAGTCCCCGCCAAAGAAAAAATGTTCATTATCATTGACTCCACTGAAGGTGTCAACTTATCCCAAGAGGAGAAGTCAATGGCAAGAAAAGCTATATAAAAGGTGTTCGTTTGGGGATTATCAACAACAGGAAAATGAGACATTTCATCAACAGAGAAATGGTTAAGCAAATAATGGAGAGCCCCATTTAAGGATTCAATGAAAATGCCATAATTAAAATGGCATTAGGAAGAAGAGGGTACAGCATGGCTGCGAGATTATGGCAAGTGGGAGAAAAAACAAAATGCAGGGCCGGCCCGGTGGCGCACTGGATAGGTGCGCTGCTTGGGAAGCGCAGCGGCGCTCCCGCCTGAGGGTTCGGACCCCA